TCTTTTGAATTCTACTGTATAGTGCAGTGTTGGTGCGGTGTTGGGGTTTTTTGGTTCAATGTGTGGAGTGTGAAGGATGTGTGTTTGCGTTTATTTTCCTGGTCATGATATGCACTGAAGATGTTTGATTTCGTTGTACAAGGTGCAATGACAATAAAGTAAACTAAACTAAACTAAGTTCATTCCCATATACCATTATACACACCCAGAACTATTAGCTCTAACTTTATTGTACGTTGCAAGTCTGAAAGAAGATCACTACCCCTTTTGCCTTTACCATCCAAGAAGGGGCCCTGCTGAGGTGTTTGCCACACTACCATTCCTTCTGTGTATTCAGTTATTTCTTATCAGACCTTCTAGTTTGTGGCTCTTCCTCTTGTCTTCCAAGTCATTCCTACATACCATTACATTTCCTAAAATTAAGTTATATGCCTTACATTGGCATAAAAAAATACAAAGTGCTTGGCAGGGGCTTCTGAGCTACAAGTGTGTTTTGGAAAAAAAAGTATAACTGCTCTATTTCACATATAGTTAGTCCTATCCCAGGAAGTATAAACACTAGTCCACAATATTGAGGTAGAAGGCAGAACTCTAAAAATTGCCGAAAGAAAGTGAATGAATGAACGAATAGATGAGGAATATATACAAGCCATTCTATTTCTGATTTCTAGCCAAGGGGAAATTCTAAAGTACTGAGTAAGTGTGCTCCTACAAGCATAAGGAAATGACTGCCCAAGGTGAAAAGTTACAAAATAAATGAAGAGAAACAAGCAAAAGCAAAAGAGAACAATTCTAGGGATTTGTGGGGCAAATAGCTAAAGTACATTTTTTCTTTTTTATCATTTTATTTATTTATTTATATTTTTGTCATGTTTATGTAGTGAATATTGAAGGTGGTTGCTCTTTGACAGCTTTATACAACAAAATTTCATTTTAATATGTGCTGATTAGTGTACATTTAAAGTGACGATAAAGCTATTCTATTCTATTCTATTCTATTCTATTCTATTCTATTCTATTCTGATGTCAATAAGGAAAGTGGTAGAATATATTTCCTGCCTTTGGGGTATCTTGTAGTCATCTGTAGGCATAATGAACCTGATCACCTCAGCACTGCTTGAAACACTTAGCAAAGGAAGTTTCATATAAACTTTTTACTTTTTTTTAAATAAACAGCAAAAGGGTGATTACAACATTGATTTTGGAAAGTTTTAAATGGGGTTGGATGGATTGGAAATAAGATTTTGAAAGTAATTATAAGAATCCTTTCTGTTAGTTCTTTAAAATCCTATTAAAATGTATGAAGATTTTGAGCTTAACTGTAAGAAATCTTCCTGTGGGAAAAATTTGTAGATGAGAGAAAAACATGATTACATAGATGTTGAAGGCTGGACAGGAGCAGCAAGAAGAAAGAATGAAAGATTATAATTAAAGAAGAGACTCACTAATACAGTTAGAGAAAAATAATTCAATTTTGCAAGTATTTGAGATGATTTCAGAACAGTGCACCCAGAAACTGCTCTTTACATGGTCTGCTACCATAAATATGGGCTTAAAAGAAGGGACGGAAGAGGATACAACTTAGAATCACGTTTTAGATTTGAATTTAAAAACGACAAATTACAAGAATGATATGGAAAAAGGTGCTACACTGGATTTACAAAGAAAATTGGCTGGTATCTTAATAACTAAAAGAACATATAAATAATAAACTAGAAGAGTGACTTGGATAATTTTCTTATCCTGGATTTACAAAAGAATTGTGTTACATTGTTGTAGGAGTTCTGAAGGGGGACGACTGAAAAGTAATCAGCTTTTGGAACATGTGGTTGAGGGAAAAGATACATACATACATACATACATACATACATACATACATACATATATGAAACAAGAAAATAAGTCCAGTTGCCATGCCTCAATTTCCAGACAACTGTACCCAGATGACTGAGAATCTTCATCAACATATTGCCACACATTTTGGGGAGGAAACCCTGAGGTTGGTGCAGGAGGAGTTGGTACATTGCAATGACTCCCTGCCTAATTAACCTGCTTTGACTGGGTAAGCTGCTTGGATGAACAGCAAATTGACTTCTTTATTTTAAAATGTCTTAAACCAAGAAGAAAATAAGTCCATGCCTCAAATTCCAGTCAACTCTACCTGGATGACCGAGAATTTTCATCAATTTCTTGTCAAAAAGGATATCTGTCTGTTTTTAAATGTATTTTCTTTTTTCTCCGCTTCTTTGTTTTTCTCTTTCTTTATATCTCTTTTTCTCTTTCTTTTTCGGTTCGTAAGGCCGAGCGTTTTTCTTTTTCTTTTTTTCTTTTTCTCTCCCTTTTGTATATGTAATGTCGATATGTTTTTAATTGTAAATTCAATAAAATTTATTTACAAAAAAAAAAAAATTCTTTATATAGCTTTTTTCTTTATATTTTTCCCTTTTTTCCTTTTCTCTACACTTTTTATTTTTTTATTTTTTACTTTTTCTTAATTTGCATTAATTTTCTATCTTTATATTTTTAAACTTTAATAAAAAAATATTATAGGAAGCGTATTAAGTACAGATCAATATATAGATAGGTTTTGATCACTTTATTCTCTTTTCTCTTTTCACAATGTTGATACTTTGTTCATAATAAAAAAGAATCTGCCATCTGCTCTTAAGAAACAGCTCAGTTAAGGTTACTGTATTCTTTGCTGAGCAAAAATCTGAGCCTGTTTCTAGGTAGATATTACTAAGAAGATATTAAATATATAATTGATTTGTTCAGTGCTCTGAAGGATCACAGGCAATCAGTGTATATGATTCAGAGTCATATATTGTGGAATGGCATGCTGTACTTCAAGAAGTGGAGTTAATTGTGTCACAGAAGGTTGGTCGTTTGGGTGAGCAAACGGTAAAGTGATTTGCATATATGTCCACCAGATTTTCCTCCCTAGCATTGTTTAAGTCACCTAAATCAACACTTACCCAGCATTATAATTGGGAAAGACACCTTAGAGCCAGGGGTGCGATTCAGTGCGGTGAGCATGTGCTTTGCATGCGTGTGTGCCAAATGCATGCTTTGCGCACGTGTTCCGTGTTTAAAAAAGCTAATACTTATCTTCAATTGCAGCTGAAGAAAACAGCTGAGGTGTGGCCATTCAAAGTTACAATTGCACTGAAAAAAGTGACTTATGACCATTTTTCACACTTACGACTGTTGCAGCATCCCCACAGTCATGAGAGGTCAGGCGAGGAGATGCGTGCCTCGATGTGAGTGATATTGAGTTGGCCATGCCCAACCAATCACATGACCACCAAGCCACGCCCACCACCTAAGCCATGCCCACCACCTAAGCCATGCCCACAGAACAGGTTGTTAAAAATTTGAATCCCACCCCTGATTAGAAGCTGGATGTATATTTATTGCAGAAAAAAGTATTGTTCCTCAGGAACTGAAGAGGGCAAAAGGAGTGAAGCAACCAAGCTTTGGGCAGTTAAAGTTTCCTCTGTTCCTTCCCTGTCAGGATTTGACCTCAATTAAATGATGAAAATATAGGAAACTGGAAAAGTTCAGATCATTAATGTAGATTTCTCTATGACCAAGGACACACATGGAGGGGTGTGCTCATGGCTCTGTCCTAGGCCCCGGGGTCTTTCAACATTTTCATCAATGACTTGGATGACGGTGTTGAGAGACCTCTTATGAAATTTGCAGATACCACAATGTTGGAAGGGGTAGTCAATGCCTTAGAAGAAAGAGAGAAGAGTCAAAAAGATCTAGAGAGGCATGAACAATGAACTGAAATGAACAGAATGGAATTGAACGAGGACAAATGTGACATTCTGTAACTGAGGAGGAAAAGTGCAAAACACAAGTCTGTATGACATGGGAAAGAGCTGATTTATGGGTGGGTTAGAGAGACATTGCATTGCTTGGAACTGAAAACAAAAATAGTAATCATTTCCCTTTGTGTTGTGTGATCCCTCTTAAAAAATTGCTCTCCTGCAGGGCAGTTAAAAGTTTTTGGAACCAGTGAAAACTTTTGGGCAATCCAGTTGGAAGGGATCTGTGAGGGATGTGTGTATATATTCTATAAGCAGCCTTCTGCTGGGAAAGCAACATTTGGATTCCTGCACTGAAAAGGCCAAAAATGGCTCCTTCGAGTTTTGTGAGTTTGTGTATGAATGTATGATGGTCTTATTTTGGGGTGGAAGCTGTGAAAATTTCCCTGGGGAAAAATATGACACATTTAGAAATCGTTATTCTAAATTAAAATAGGCACTTTCCAAATTTACCTGAAAAGAAATATGACCCAGTTAGAGATATTTAAGTTAAAATGGAGATACTATGCATTTTCCAACTGTGAGCAGCATAGAAAACAGATAATTTGGGTTGTCTATTTTCATCTCCAAATGCTGCCTGTTGATGGTAACCTTGAGTGTTTTCTTCCTTGAAATTTAAATCAAGGATGTGATTGGATAGCAGACTCTCCAGGAAGAGACATAACACACCCTCATTAACTGCAGAAATCACATTCTGGTATTTTTCATTTATGCTTCCTTCACAATTACTTCCTCAATTTGTTTTCACGCCCTTTTAATTTAAAATGCTGTGACTGAAAGGACAGTGTCTGAGAAAAGCCTAGACTAGAGTATATAGGTGCAACCAGCATTCCCAGAAAAAATCTATCTGCATGGATGGATGACATAAAACAAACTATTGGCTATGGAAGATTAAGAGTGGTGATGTAGTCATTCATATTGAATGGGGACCCTGAAAACCCAGTACTCTATTTGCAGGGAATGCTGCTGAACAGGGTGGCCATCTTTATTTCCCCCAAACAGCCATTTCTGCCCTTATCCGAATCCTGCTCTTTTGCATTCTGCTCATGGCCTTGATATGTGGCGCTTGTTCTCCCTCAAAGCCCAACCCCAGCACTGACCCGTCTCTGGTCCCAGCACAATTTGAGAACTGGACGGATTCAAATCCTTGCCCAAGTGAAACCTTACCCTGCTTGATGGATCGGATGCTGGTGTGGTTGCTGCCTCTGGAACGGTATTTGAGACCGAGTCCGATTCCTTTTTGTCCTCCTCTTCAGCTTTGGCTTCTACCGTCGTCATTGTGAGGGACCCTTCTTGAAAATCCTGTTCAAAATGGGCTCCTTCCCTACCAGGGAAGCTCTTTTTGTTCTGGCGTTGATTGTGTGGGATGTCTCAGCACATGGACCTTGTTTCCCCTCTGGCTGCCCTGATCCTGCTTTAGTGATTTATACAGAGTGGCAGCACTAAGCCCCCTCCTTGGCACAAGGCCACACCCCCAGAACAACCCCACTCTCTGCGCAGGGATCAAAATTCATATTTAATAAACACAGGCATCCAATCTGCTCTGTCCATCAGGTCCCGATAATCTGCATAAAGATTATCCTGAATAATTGTAATACCCTTTATTAGGGACTATGGATCTATGGGCAGGAGGATGCATACCTCTGTGCATAGTTGCGTCATATGACGAAGGAGTACTCTTGATTTGCAATACTTGCAAATCTTATTTTGTCTTGGTCCTGTCCTGATCCTAAGAGAATCTGAAGGCATTCCTTGGTTGGAGATCCAATACATTTGATTCCCAAGTGAGAAAATTCCATTGCTCTGGTTTTGGGTGTTGCTTGTTTGGCTAGCAACTGTGAGATCTGACCTTCAAGATGACTCACAATCTTTGGCTGTACCGCCTGGTACCAAGCCTTATGATTCCATAATAAAGAGCTATGTTTGAAAAGCAAAGATAAAATTGCCAACTTCCCTAAAGTGTAAAAAGTCATTGCCAACTTCTGTTTTGATAATATTTGGCCTGGTATGTTAACAAATCTTTGGCACAATCATAGCAGGAAGAGAGTAATTGGCCTGGATTATTGGCCTGGGTGGAATTGAACAGGCTCCCGTTCTCACTTGGTAATTGCTTATCAGTAATCTGAACATGAGCAGGTTACTTCCTTCTTCTCAAGCTCACCCACCTTCTCTCTTTCTTCTACACAGCTCTATTATACATTAATTAAATTAAATTAAATTAAATTAAATATTTGCTGGAAATACAGTAGGCCAGCAACACTGATGTTGCTCTGTCAGAATTAAAGCCTGAGCATCTTCTGAAACACAACCAGCCTTATCCTTAACAGCAAGATCAGCTGGTACTTCCTGCCTTTCCTTACTAGTGGTGCGTGGCATGGATATGGGGATAAATAAATCTAGAGATTTGTAGAACCAGCCCTGTACTTTGTCATGTATTTGCAGACCAAAAACCAGCCTCGGGGGTGGGGAGGGAACAGCAAAGCAGGTGAACTACTTGCCCATTGGGTAAAGTAACTAAATGTTGATTTTAAATTTGTCTTAATTGTGTGACAATTAGTATTAGTAATAGGGTAGTGAGAAGGGAAGCAGCAACTGTTTTCCATGACCTTTAAGGTATTTGTGACTATGAGAATTAGGGAAGATCTATAGCACCCCTTCCCCCCAAAAAGTGTCCTCTAGATTTGTTCTAGTCCAGGCTGAAGTGGTCTATGGTGGGAAAACAAAGGCAAGAACAGAGGAATAGAACAGAGGAGGCTGAAGCTTTCTGCTGCTGTGTTGTGAAGAAGTACTGGTGAGTATCAACAATGGACCTTGCTTAGTTGGTTTGCTCTGGAGGTCAGCGAGTGGCAGTTAATCTTGAGGGCAGGGAGATGCAAGAAGATTAATACAGCTTTGCAAGCTCAGGAATGGGACCCGTTACTGCTCTAAATTAAAGTGGTGACATATTGCAACACAGGCAATATGCCCAGCCAATGCTGGCAGCAGAGCCCAGGACAGGTTTCCATAACTGGGATGAGGAACTGGAGGTGGTGGTGTTAACCCTAGTGGCAAACCTGTTTAGGGAGACTGAGCAGGATTTAAGGCAAATTTAGATGATGGAAAGCCCAGAAGCATCTGAAGAGGTGTACCATTCACTTACAGAGAACAGTCCCTTGGGGGTCCTGGTGCTGGCATAGCGGATACTGCTGTCATAGTCTCCAAGAAAGGAAGTGGGAAGAGCCTGGTAAGGGTGGCCAGGCATTGAGAGGGCCCTGAATGAACATAGGAACAACTTCTGTGGACGCTTTGCATTTCCAAAGCTGATTTTCTTCTTCATCACCTAGGGAAAGGAGAGCCAATGTGGAGTGGTGGTTAGAGCACTGCAGCCAGAGTGAGAAAGCTCAAACAGCATTCTTCAGAATGTTTTAAAAAGGTCTTCTGCAGTCACGACAACATAAGCCTAAGGTTGAAAATCAGGCTTGTCAGATGCTATATCTTTTCTATCCTGCTCTACAGAGTGGAGAGTTGGTCTCTGACAGAAAGCCACTTGAGGAGACTAGAAGCATTTGAAATGAGGATTTACACACAGCTGTTACTTATAAGTTGGGTTGACAAAATCAGAAATGAGGAGGTGGATAAGCTGCCTGGGAAAGCCATCAAAACCATAAAAAGGGAAAAGCTAGAATATTTTGGATATGTGATGCGACCCCCAGAAAAATACAGCATACTTCACTTAATCCTCCAAAGAAAGATTGAAGGCAAACGGGGTCCAGGCAGAAGAAGAACATCATGGCTTCAAAATCTAAGGGACTGGTTTGGACAAAACTCAACAGCATTTTGATAAAAATAGGATTGCCAACATCCAATGATGTATATGGCACAAGAAGCCAGAGTGAGGAAGACTCAGGCTCAGGTCCTGGAACTTGCATGGGATAATTTTGAAACACTCCCTATATTTAACCAAATCTGCCTTGTAGGCCTGTTGGAGGCAAAATTGGAGGTTGTGTTCTAGCAGAGAAATGCAAAAGGCAAAGAAAGAAAGAAGAAAAAGATGGAAGGAGGGAGGAAGAGGAGTCAAAATGCCCACTGTGAAAATAGAATTGGAGATGGTTACCTCTCCCCTTGACAACCTATTGACCTCTACCTCCTTCTCCATTTAGAAAGACCTCTTCCTCTTCCAAATTGTCATGAGATGCCATTTTATTTTTCTGCCATTGTGACTACTTCTGATAAGGAATGGGCCTTGAAATACAGCTCTTGCTTTCTGCTGTTGCCACAATTGGTAGCCAAATCTCGGAATATAATCCAAGTGGAGTGACTCTTGAGTCACTTCTTCTGTGAAAAGCTTTCTACCAGATCAGATATGGCCTCACTTGATGGCAGATGATCTGGCACTGAAGTAACGGCCTCAAAAGAACATGGTTGAGTTAGGACGGACCAGAATCAAGAGCACTGCTCTGGTCTCCCAAGCTTCTTTCTAAAGCCCATCTCCTTGTCCTGGATATTGTTCCAGCCCAATGCACCTGACAAGTCTGGGTCATCCCTGGGAAACTGCAACATGTAAATCTGAGACCAATAGGTTTCTTACGTGGCATCTGCAATGTTTGTGCTCGACCCTTTCCTCCCTTTCAGTATCTGCCACCAATGGCGGATCCGTCATTGTGCCAACCAAAAAGACCCATCAAATTTAGCCCTCCTCCTTAAGCCAAGCACAGAAGCTCCCATTGCAGCCCCTCAGTCAACATGATCTGCTCCCTTACCTGAGATGGTCCTGACATCCACTTCCTTCAGAGGAGCCTTCTTCCGAAACTCACTCTTTCTGCTCTCTTGTATGTGCTCTAACTCCTTTCATTTACACAAGCAAAAAAACCAACCAAACAAAAAAAAAAAAAACAAACAGGGCCCTTGGAGTTTTGTGGGCCTTGGAGCCTTGTTAGCACAAGCTAGACTTGCCCTTTTCCAACGCAAGTTTCTATGACTCCTGAATTCCTTGGGGAGAGGCGGTAAGAAAGAGAGACAATTGCAATTAGATTATTCTATGAAAAGCAGCACCTGTTTTTAGAGTAAGCACTCAGTCACCTTTGCTTCTTTTTCTTCTTTTGGGGAGGGGGCATCAGAAGTAAGCCATCAGAAGGATTTAAAATGTCTCAATTGTTACCCGCTGCAACAAAGAAAAACTTAGTAGAAAAAGACTGGCTTTGCCTTGATGGGAGCAAAGTGTGAGTGCGTTGCAACACTGGGGGTACACTTGGTTTGGCATTAGAGGCAGAGGTGTATTCAGCAGTTCTGTCTGGTTGTGGAGAACCAGTAGAGGAAATTTTGAGTAGTTCAGAGAACCAGCAAATACCACCTCTGACTGGTCCCGCTCCCATCTATTCTCTGCCTCCTGAGTCCCAGCTGATCGGCTGGGTCTTCTTTTGTTGCCCTACACAGGGGAATGGAGCTGGAAAGCAGGTTAGTGGGGTGGGGAGGGAAGGGGATTTTGCATTAACCTTCCTCCAGGAGTGGAAAGGGAATGGAGATTTTACAGTATTCTTCCCCTGCCACACCCACCAAGCCACACCACGCCCACCAAGCCACTCTCACAGAACTGGTAGTAAAAGTGTTTTGAATCACACCACTTTTAGAGGAGTTAATCTGAGGAAGTTGTGAAAAAGTGTGAGAAGAGAGAATGGAAAACCAAAACCAGAACCAGGTTAACACATGCTCAGATTTTTTTAAAAAATGTATCTGCTACTATAAGCATACATTCAACAGCGTCCTAGTGCTCATGATCTGCTTGCTTGTAATATTTCTTATATTTTGTACAGGTTTGCATGATTGTGTCCATAACCACATTACAGAATGACAGAACAGAGGGAGGCATCTTCACAGAGAACTCAACATGGGAATCAGATGGGCGGACAGATGCCTGTTTGTGTCATCCTTGTTGGCTTCCTTGGGACAGGAACGGTGGCCCTGTGCTCTCAATAGTCTTCTTGTTGGCATGTGATGTTCCCAAGACGTTGTCCTTCTTTCTCTTGGCACCAAGCAGGACTTGGGCCTTTCACTCGTTTCTTACTGATAATGAAAACCTTGACTAAACGGGCAGGCACAACTCCAGAGCTGCTTCCCTGCAGAAGGTTCCTTCACCCAGGAGCAATGCCCAGGCCTACAGAAGACTGCTTCAGAAGAGCAAAGCAAATGGATAGTTGCCCTTAAAGGTGATTCTGAAGAAAATGAGGGCTACTTCTTCTATTTTTGCATGCTTTAATTATAGGGGCTTTAGGGAAACTGCCACACTTGTAGGTGTTCCATTTGGTGGATCAGTTTTATGGTAGTCCCTTTTGTAAGTTCCAAGTTAAAGTGGAAATTTTGAGTGCCAGAGAATGTCTCACAAACAATTTGTGCGTATGTTAAAAGGAGGTTTCTGAACAAACAGTGCTTCATGCTACCAATATACTGTGCAGAATTTCACCTTTTCCTATTGAATGGATTTTCTGTGAGATTTTAGTACTTCCACAGAGACATTCCTCTGTGTTCCAAGTACAGCAGAGTAGCCTAAAAGCTCTGGGGCTGAATGCTCCAATTCAGACAATTCTCAGCAATTTAACTCACATCTTCCACAAAGTATGTACAACTTTGCAATGATGTGCAATGCCCCAGGTTAGTTCCATTAAAAAATGGTTTCGG